ATCTTAAATTTACACTACTGAATAATATTCACATTATTTCCATCAAATGAGGCCATCTTTGAGGCTTCAGGGTTGCCACAAGAAGGAAGAAGGGACCAGGAAAGGGGAAAGTAGATGGAGGGGATGTTGTACCCAAAACAAAAAGTTTCCTGTGGGAACCAAGGGTACTCTAACAGGTGGCTGGGGAGAGGAGGAGTGAAGTAACCAAGCAATCGCCCAGCACCTCTATTGGACAATGCGACCAATGACTTGGGGAAAGGTGGAAATTTCATTTTTTAATTAGTTGTCTTTCACCAGTTGTGCCAATATGATGTATCCAATAAATTGTTCTTAGACAAATCTACCTGCCTCGGAGTTCTGCTTTCAATGGGTGCATTACTTGACAAAGATAATCCGTGACTTATGACCACAATTGAGTCCAAAATTTCTACTGCTGAGACAGCTAAGTGAGTTCTGCATCATTTTATAAACTTTCTTGCCACAGTTGTTAAGTGAATCACTGCAGTTTTAAATTAATAACATGGCTGTTAAATGAATTGGCTTCCCCATTGACTTTGCTTGTCAGATGATCACAAAAGATGATCCCCACTGCAACTGTCATTGCCAAGTTGCCAAATTTTCATCACGTGATTGCAACAGTCAGGAGTGCGAAAACCAGTCATAAGTCACTTTTTTCATTGACGTAATTTCAAATGGTCACTAAACAAATAAGTTGTAAGTCAAGGACTACTATAATATAAACAACTGATATAACAAAAAGGACAGAGCAGGATTGTTCAAAGTTTTTCCATAAAGCAAATGGCTTCATTACAAAGAAATAGGTTTTATTATGGATATAGAATACAGAATAACCAAGTTGGAAGGGACCTTGGAGGTCTTCTAGTCCAGTGGTTCTTAACCTTTTTGAAAGAATTGCCCCTTGAGCCATTGAGGAAGTTATCATCACCCCCCTCCCACAACATAATCTCTCAATCACAACACAGGGAAATTATTCTTCAATTTATGCAAACACATTTTTTGTTTTCTTTACATTTGTCATAAGGACATATCAACGCAAATAATTTATTTAGTCTTTTTCCCATATCTCAACTATGTGAAAAATTCTGATGCCACCCATCACTTTACTCCCAAACTTCGTGATACATGTATTTCATTATTATCTTATTTATTCAAGACACTTAAATGCAATGACCACTGAAAACAAAATTCAATTGCAAGAAAATGAAATGCCCGAAAAAACAGTAACATTTAATGATTTAATTCCAAGTGAATTTTAAGACACAAAAAGAAATACAAAAAGGGCATAAGAACAAACCGTAATGCAGGAACTAAGAATTTCAAGACAAAAATTCTGATACTAAATTAAAATTCGAGGAAAATATATATTCATGCACAATGTAAAAAGGGTTAAAAAGACACAAAGAAAATTTTTACAGAAGGAAAGCCACAAAAATCAGAGCGACAAATTTAATGCGTTAAACTGAAGAAGAAAAAATATCTACACAAAAAGTTTACATGAAGAGCAGAACAAAAATTGAAACCATAAAACTGAGAAAATATAGAAAATATAATAGTGGGCACTTCCAGATTTATCAGATCATAGAATCTGGTTTCCATATCTTCTTTTAGTTGCTTCAAGTGGCAGCAAAAAATGTCCAAATCTTCTGCTTGGAGTTGACGTTCATTACCAAGGATTGGGAACTGATACAACTCCTGGCGACTCTTATTGCTTGTAAGGAGGTCCAATTTTGAAATAAATGAGCAGATTACTCCTTTGGCCTTAAGAAAATTGATTTTATCTCCTTGCAGCTTTACGTTCATTTCATTCAGCTTGTCAAAAACATCAGCGAGATAAGCTACATCCAGATGTGGAAGTCTGGATCAATGGATTCAAGAAATTCAACAACTGGAATTGCCGCAAACACTTTGCTTTTGAAAGCCACCTTACTTCAGTGTGCAAAAGGAGACATTCAAACTCCTCGTCATTTTCTTCACAAAGCTTGTGAAAAAGTCGATTGTTCAGGGCATTCAACTTAATTTTATTCACAGCGTTAATGACGTAACGTATAGACTCATGCAAACGGCCACTCAATTTTTTGAGACAAGGTGCTGTCTATGAACGATGCAATGGACAGTCATAACTCCAGGTACAACCAATTTTAGATGAGCTTGAAATCCGCGATATCGTCCAACCATGAATGCAACTCCGTCGGTTGCACATGCCATCACGTTTGTCAAAGGGATGGTTTTCTCATTAAAAAACCCTTCAACCTTTTAAAATATCGACGAACCTTTTGTGTTGGTGGCTAAACTTCCAATGTTGGAGCATTCACAACTTCTGCAGGCAAGTTGTTCCACTCATTAATTGTTCTAACTCTCAGAAAATTTCTCCTCAGTTCAGGTTGCTTCTCTCCTTGATTGAACATTTCCCCAATAAGTGTAGTTCACAATGAAATGGACTGCCTTGGGAGATGGACTCTTATTCACTTGATCTGTTCAAACAAAGTTTGGATGGGCATTTGTCACACATGCTCCAGCAGTGGTTTTCCTATACAGGATGGAACATTAGTTCAAATGTTCTTCCAACTTCTGTGTGTGCAAATCATATTCTCCCACTTAGCTATGACAATAAGCTGAAAGTGATTAAAATAGCATGTATAAAGAAGAATCCTTCTTTGCTGAAAAATGTGAATTGGGATGTATGACAGTATAAATAGCAGCATGCCCTGAAATTCCACAATGACAATTTGAAATTTTATATAAATATTTTATTTATGATAGTTTGAAATAAAACAGTAGATTGCCAAGATAGACTGATGTAATTAGTTTTCTGGATATTAAACTCCCTCCCCCAATATTATTTCTGAACTTTAAATACAATAGGCTAGTAGTCCATGTATAACCCATGAAGCATTACATTTTCTTTGCTTCTGGTTTTGCATGACCTCCCTGATAGTTACCATTAGCAGATCACAATGGTTTGTTTCACAAAGAAAAATCTGTTGCTATAGGTGGGGATGCACCTGGCCCTTTAAATAACCAGCCAGCTTTCTGTTCCCAGAGGGAGTCACATGACCTCTGAGAGCCAATAAAGATGGGGGAAGGGTTCTGTCACGTTTTTGGCGGCAAAAATTTTGGATTCTTTGACAGAGTTGATTACTTCCATCTTTATTGTAAGATTGAATTAGCAGAATTTTGAAAAGAATGATAGTTTGATTTCTATAAATATATTAGAAATATATCATACTTGAATATTCTATTCTGTCTGTGTGTGTGTGCGTATGCATGTTATGTGTGTGTATGTATATGTATGTGTATATGTATATATGTATAAACTATAAATGTTAATTCCTTTATTTTCTATGTTGTATTTTTCACTTTTTAAAACTTTTAATATCCAGCCTTAGTCTTTGAAAATGTATTATAATTATCCTTGTGTTTTATTTGTTGTCTTTTTTATTATTTTAAAAGCAATATTTTTTTTTAAATGATTGAAAGAACTCTTCTCTTCCGTCCCTTTTATTTTCTTGAAAACTAGGAAACAACGTGAGACATTCTGCCACCATTTCCTTTTAAATTTCGTTTATCACAGTATTATTGAGGTTGTGGATTTTCTGTCTGCCTACCAAAGTCATTTCCACTCATTCATTCATTACCCATGGGTACCCAGGACAAATAACTTCTCTTTTTGAATTAAAATTCTTTGTAGGAGTTTCTCCTAACTAGTCTGATATTATCAATTCAGGTTTGGTTATTTGCATATTGATTTCCTTTATGCTAACTAATGACCACAATAAAATATTTCATACTTAGAATTATATGAACAATTAGGATTGTTTCTCTAAAAGAAAAGTGCTTTATTAGTTTCTCTGTTTCACCAACAGATCTGAAATGAGAACTAAATAGAATATTTGGTGCCCATTTTCATAGAATTTTTTTTTAAAGTCACAATCCAATATATTCAGATCTTTTATCTGAGAGTATTGAATGTTGCTCACACTGTCTATAATATACACATTGTACTGAGCCACAATGTGGCTTTCACATAACATGATTAGTATATTGTACAGACCTAGCCACTTCAATTTGTAAATTATATTTTTGTGTATTATGCAATCTCAGGCAATATTAGTTTAATAAACTATGAATGAATTATAGCTTAGCACAAAGTGTGAATAGAGTAAGGGAGAAATATTTTGTTGTATTAATTTATTATAAAATACCTTTCCCCAACTTTGGTATTACAGAAAATCTTTTTGTTTAACCAGTTATTTGAATTAATGTTTGTGTGTTTTAGTATCATTTCTTTAATGGGATTGTAATTTGAGGCTATTTTTATTTTGATGGATATATTGTCATAGTATAGTGTTTTAATTGTTTTTATGTAACAGTGTTATGCCTAGGATGACTTTTTTTAATAAAACAGAATAAATTGTTTATCTCTAGTTAGAATCCCACACATTTTAAATAAAATTAGAGTGGTTTGGTTTGGAGGGTGGGTTAATTTTATTGTATTTATGTTATTTTGTAGATATGGATTTTTTTTTGAGGCAGCTGTTTTTAAACAATAGTGTATGAAGAAATTAACTTTTCCAGGTCATTAAATTCTCTTCCATGTTCAGTCTATTAAATAACTCAGAGATTTCTAATTGCTTCATTGTAGCTATATATAGGCTTATGTATGACTGTAATAAGCAGCGACACAGTACGTACAAATAATATGAAGAAAGTGAAAAATCAGTCATATTAGATTTAAAAACAGCCCACAGAAAATTGACAAGTCACCGACACTTCAGCAGCTTTAACACACCATTCTACGAAACCAAATCTTCCTTATTTGTAACGCGGCTCCACCTCCTCCCTCCTCATAATCCTCTTCCCGGGCATGCTCAGAAGCAACAATGTAGCCAACCTGCCCTTTTGTGAGTCAGGGCGACCGAACAATCGCTACTGAGCCTGCGCTGTATACCGCGTCTCCGGCCACGGGACGTTGCTGCGGGGTTTGACAGAGGGATCTCGAGTGAACGCAGGTGAGCGCCTGTTTCGGCCTTAAGAGGCTGCTTTCGGTTTGAAACGCTTGCTTCGAACGCTGCCCATCGTAGCCTTCCAATAGTGGATCTGCACGCCTCTGCAGTGTTAGGGGGTGGCGCAGGGCTGTTGAAGCGTGCAATTGGAAAGTAATTCAAACTTTTTAATGTCTTTTCTTCTTCTGGATTGAGTTGATGTATGCCACGTTTTAAGAAGGCAACACGCTCTTCTCATTCCCTAATTCGGTCGCTGCAGTTTAATCTAAGGCAAGCTTCCACAAGCTGAAGTTCCCCATCAATTGGTCTCCTAGTTTTTATAATCTCCATGCAGAATGGCTTGGCTGTCTGGCAATGGTGGGGTTGCAGCCCACCATTTCTAAAAAGCTGAAATAATAGAGGTCTAGAGTCTTTCCTGAGATTTGTAATGGTTTAGCAGTTAGTTCACTTCTGGGGAAATTACTTATCTAGTTGTATGTAGTCCTTGTTAGATTATAGGGCTACCAGAGTCTTCTGAAACTCCATGCTGCTTTTAAAAAAATGTTTAGATTTGTTTATATAAAATTTGAAATTAATTTAAAACCACTGCAACATGAATAAGATGAATTAGAATTGTGTAACAAACCTAAGCTGCTACAACAAGAACAGAGCTTTGGACTATAGAACAAGGTTTGATTCAAACCAGTACTATTTCAACTTGCTTCAGAATTTTAGAGACGCAATCCTTGCTAACTTGGCGCTTGGCACTATTATAAGACATGCTGTACAGTGGAGAAGTTTAAAGATGGTGTTAAAGCAGGTATGATAGGAGCAGACTAGTGTATGCTGGTCCCATCCTTGGTCCCTTATCTCCAAACTTGCTCTGTGAAGATATGAAGCAAGGTTCCTGATGATGCAGTAAACTGTTATATTCTTCAGTTAATACATGTAGACTGTCACTCTCTTTGACATGGATAAAGCTCAGTTGATGCAAACACTTTTAAGTCTGAATGTTTCATATACATGTCAGCTAACATTTTAAATGATATTGCAGAGTACTCACCTCTACTCATCTGGTTTTTCATACTGTAAACATCCAATGCCTTTTCCAGTGTTCTTGGAGCAATAGGATTGACAACCCTCAGCCTGAACATGATATATGTTTGCTGACACAGAATATGTGACATGATTAAGAAATAGAGCAATAGTACCAGAAAGTTAAAGCAAAACAAAAGTTAATATATAATGGATATACTGTAAGCAGTCTATACACCCCTGTTAAAATGCCAGTTGTTTTTTTTTAAAAAAATTCACCACAAGACAATTTTCAGTTTGTTTTTTAATTGATTGTACAGCTTATATGTTATGAAGATGGAAACAATTCTGAAGTGTTTTATCTTGATCTGATTTTCTTATATTTCTAAAACCTGGCATTTTAATAAGGGTATAGACCAGTGGTAGTCAACCTGGTCCCTACCGCCTACTAGTGGGTGTTCCAGCTTTCATGGTGGGTGGTAGGCGTTTTGTCCAATACTGAAGCACTTTCCTTTTTTAAAATTTAATTGACTTTTTAAAAAAAATCATAGCATTATTTAAAAATTTTCATTACGTTTTCATAAAATCACCATTACTGTGGAACCGGTGGGCGGTTAGAACATTTTACTACTAACAGATACAAAAATGGACGGTAGGTATAAAAAGGTTGACTACCCCTGGTATAGACCATGGCTGTCAAACTCATGGTGTCCCATTGCTGTCACGTGATTTTTTTTTGCCTTTGTGGATATGGGTTGGGCATGGCCTGCACATGATGCATCCAGCCCATGGGCTGCCAGTTTGACACCCCTGGTATAAATTTTCTGTATCCACTGTGACATGATCAATGATCTAGGATTTCAGGCAAAAAAATCTGACTGGATTAAGAGAAGGATTCAGAATTTTGACAATGTATTGATATTACAGAAGAGTAATTATAAATAAATAAGATGGTTGAGCTAATATTTAGCTGGTAAAAAATCAGAACAGATCCCACCCCCAAGCATCTTGTTAATAAGGCACTTCAATTCAGTGTCTTTTGTGTGTACTGTATGGTTAAAGGATTGGGCTAAGGATGGGAAATTAGGTTCAAATTGCATGTTTATTTGTTTAATTTATAAGCCACCCATCCCACTTTGTAAAGCATCTCTGGGCAGTTTACAAATTGCTTACAGATTGCTAAGTAGTTCACTAGCAGTCTGAGCAGCTTACATTTCAAAATTGTTGTCAGGGTAAAATCAGGCAGGGATAGTTCTGGTATGATCCCTTCTTCATCTCCTAGACCAGTGAGGGTGAACCTTTTTCACCTCAGGTGCCAAAAGTACACACATGCGTGCTGTTGCGCATGCTTGTGTGCCCATCCACATAATTTAATGCTCCCCTGTGCCGTGCCCCCTGCGCATATGCATATGACACACACCCCTGCCCCGCTCATGTGCGCACAACTTTCTTGGAGCCTGGGGAAGGCAGAAACAGCCTCCCACCACCTCCAGAGGCCCTGCAGAGGCTGGAAATGGCCTGTTTTCCAACTTCCAGTGAGCCTTGTAGGTCCGTTTTTCACCCTCCCCAGGCTCTAGAGGCTTTCTAGGATCCCGGGAAGGGCAAAAATGGCCTCCCTCTTGGAGGCAGGAAACATGTCCTTTTTTTGCACTCCCCAGGCTCCAGAGGCTTTCTGGGAGCCTGGGGAGGGTGAAAAATGGCCCAACACGCAACCCGGAAGTGCGTTGGGTGGTTTTTCACCGGAGCCTTCAAAAAGCCTCCGGAGGGCAAAAACGGCTGAAAATCAAGACTGAAAATCAGCTGACAGGGCAACGCTTCACGTGCCCTCAGAAATGGCTCCGTGTGCCACCTGTGATACATGTTACATAGGTTCGCCATCTCGGTCCTAGACAAAAACAAGCAGCTACAAGGACAGAGCTTTGGTTTAAATATAAAGCAATAGAAACAAATTAGCAATTATTTTAAGTTGAAAAAACCTTACTATAGTCTATACTTTCTGCAATAAAGATAACTGTTCTCAACAGTTTGTTTGTTTTCAACAAAATGAACATATAGTAGTTTGGAAGATTGTTAGGGCAGCAGACTAAGCTTCCAAGACTGCTTTAAAAAAAGATCTTTCAGTAGCTCTTCATCTATAGCTGTACAGTTGAATCTTCTCTGCAACTGGTTCAGTGAATGGTTCATACTTGATGTTGAGCAAGATTCTTTATCTAAAAAGCTATAACATGGTTGCTTAAGTTCACATGTGACTGTTAGACAAACGACATCTCCCTTCTAGTCCTTTAGTGCTTCAGTATATGTGCTATGCTCACAGCAACAAATGTACTGTGAAAAATATCTTCAGTTCCCGCAATACATCTACAGCACTCTTTCTCAAACTGGTGTTTCCAGATGTTTTACACTATGATGTGAATACTGTGCAACATGCTGGGAATTTGAATGAAAATCCAAACCATCGGGAGGGCACCAGAGTAATGAAGGCTGCCACAGACTATAATGGAAAAACAGCTCTTTTTAAATATTGCAGGCCAAGTACACTCAAGCATTCAAGAAAGTTAACAAAATTGTTGAGACCCTACGGGTAACATAATATGTCAGTTTATATATGCCAAAATAATAATAATCATTTTGTGGCTAATGTCAGAAATATTAAAATGATACAAATGGATGTTACAAAGGGAAATTCCAGCACATAGCTATAACATAGAAATTGGTTCCTTTCACCATAATGTAACAATTTATCTCCCAAAGGTGCTTTTTCAAAAGGCAACTGGACTTTATTTTTTCCTTGAAGACATCTTGTTTCACATCCAAGAAGCTTCTTCAATTCTGACTCAGTCAGAACTGAAGAAGCTGCTTGGATGAGAAGCGAAAGTCTTTAAGAAAAAAAAAAGTCCAGTTTCCTTTTGAAAAAGCATCTTTGGGACAACTATGACCTGGGTGACTGAGAATCTCCACAGATAACTGTTTATGTCTATTTCAGATCTCTGAATATGCTAACCAGGGGTTTACAATTACCAGACCACGGTCTGTTTCAAACCAAGCTGCTCCAACAGCTGGCCAGTGCATAAACACACAGCTCAATTTGTGCGACCTGTGGGCTGATTCCCCTCCCCCTCCCGGGCCACCAAGCCGTAAAATTTGGGGACTGCTGTGTTACACTATGTGCTCTTATTTTAACAAGATTATTGTTTAGACTTTTGTGGACCTTCAATTAAATAACTTTTATTCAGAGTGCACACATGGCTTAGCCATAATGTGGTTAGTTTGACATAGGCTTAGTGTAAATGTATAAACTCAAATTTTTGGTTTATGTTTATTCACTGCAGTTTATTCAGCAAATGTAAAAACCAAATTAGTGATGATGTTGACATTTTATATATACTTTTATTGTTTCAGAAGTTTGTCTATAGATTAATCAAACAATGTCTGAAGAAATCAGAAAAAGGCTTGATTTTCCTAACACGCTTATTCAGTCACAGGTGAGAAAGCTTTTGTTTGGTGTCTACCATATGTGGCCTGAATAGATTGATCCACACATAGGCACTTGTACTTGTTGAAAAATGAATTCTTTATATGAAACCCCTGGGGAAGAATTTTGAGTGAGATGCCTTCAGGATGAGGACACCCTGCTTTGCTGCTTCCTACCACCCCGTTTCAAGTAAGTTATTTGATACCCTGGAGTATTGCCAAAGTGCCATTATGGACTGGATGAGAAATAACAAGCTGTTGTTTAATCCAGCCAAAACAGAGATAGTGTTATTACATAAGAGTCAGAGATTGAGCTTGAGATCGTTTTGGAGTCGGTTGCATTCTCCTTGAAATAAGAGATTAATGGATTCTAGATTGATTCTTGATCTCCAGCTGTCACCAGATTTGCTGATGACACTAGTTTTGCTGACGTTGTAATGACAGATCACAGTATCTCATGTCATAGGCAGAACTTTTTGTATTACCAGGAACAGTTATTAAATCACTTTTTAAGGGAGACTGAGGACTTTCTCATATATGTAACTCCTAAGTAACGCCTCATCTACTAATATTTTAACATTAACTTTAATACATTTTTGCTATGCTTATTCAGGTAGCAAGTTCTGATCCACTTGTATTGACAATCTAAATAGTTGTGAGTGGCCATATTTTTAACATCAAGATATTATATTTCAGAATTCTCTGTGAAGATAAAGAGAATATCAAGTTGCTACTATTGAATTGTGTTTGATAAATTATTTTCCGCAATATAACCTTAGCCTTCATGTTGTTGTTTAACTAATGTAGCAGTGTGTGGTGGGTAGGATGTGGTTGCTGCTGGCTGCAATAAAACATCATATTTTAGTGATTTATGTTTATTCACAGGCTGTGGGCCATCTTATTGCTGCAGTGCTGAAAGAAAATGTTTTATCTAACAAGATCAGCCAGTCCAGTAACCAGGTTTGTGACTTTGCTTTCATTTTTCTTTCCCCCATTGCCCTGAGAACTGCTTTTGTGGTGCAACATGATTGAAATTCAATTCCAGTAATTTTAAATTTTCACAGCTAGAGAATAATATAGAGGATAATATATGAGAAAGGAAAAAAAAACATTGAAATGGTGTACATAACAATATCTAACGATAATGATGCACTGTCTAGAATGGGTAGATTCATGCAGAGCATGAATACTAACATTTTATGAGGCAAGGAACACTTTAAACGGCTCTCTGGTCTACTGGAATTTCTCTTACTGAAAATGTGCAAACTATTTTTTACAAGTATGGTGAAATTTTAGCTCTTTGGTGTAACCCGTATTAAGAATTAAGAGAACCTACAAGTAGTCCTTGCTTAACAACTCTTTGTACAAAGTTATGACAATGTTGAATGATACATAAGCCTGGTTCTTGAAGTCATGGCCAATACAATGCCCCTGTGGTCATGTGATGAAAATTTCGGTGTTTGGGATGGTAGAGTGCAGAATGGCTTGCTCATCCTTTCACCCATGGCAGCAACCAGCCCTGGCCTGGCTGCACTTTGGTCAGGCCACAGCAGGCACTTACTTGCCTGCTGACCTGCTTGTGAACTGCCTAGGACTTCCTGCTAATGTGGTCATATGATTTTATACTTTCTGACTGCATCATTTAGCTATGGAAATTCTGGTCCCAATTACCAGAAGTAAATAAACAAAAAATTAACTAACTGGCATATACAGATAGTCTTTGACTTACAACCACAACTAAGCCCAAAATTTCTGTTGTTAAGCCAGGCAGTTTTTGTGAGTTTTGCCCCATTGTATGACTTTTCTTGCCACAGTTTGTTAAGTGAAGTACTGCAGCTGTTAGTAACATCAAGGTTCTTAAGTGAATCTGGCTTCCCCATTAACTTTGCTTCTCAGAAAGTCGCAAAATGTGATCACATGACTCTAGGACATTGCAACTATCAAAAATACATGCCAGTTGCCAAGTGTCCAAATTTTGATCATGTAACCACAGGGATGCTGAACCCGTCATAAATGCGAACAGCAACTCAAGAACTATTTGTATAGAAATTTGTTTGATTTTCATCAATTGTTTGTTTTGACTGAGAGATGCTGAGATTTGTAAAAATCTGTAATATAATTGAAGAAAGATTTTCAAAAGATTTCCAAAATCTAGCAATAGATTACCTGGTTCTGATATAAAATACATTTTCCTATTCCATTATCTTTTTCCTGATGTTTACTTTGTTCATTAGATTTAAATGGAATAAAACTTACGTTTCTGAACTTAAATTTAGAATTGTTGGAGCTAAAACTATTTGTTGCAACTTTGCTTACTTAGTGCTTGATCACTTTATATCTGGCTTTCATTCAAGAGACAAGGACAATATACCATACATAGAATTCCCTCTTCCTGTTTCTCTCCTTAATAACCCTGTGCGATAGCTAGAACTTAGAAAGCACGGTGGACTCAAAATTTCCGGGTTTTTTTGGACTATAATACGCACCAGAGTATAAGACACACCATGATTTTGAAGAGGTAAATTAAAAAAAACAAAACAGTTTTTGCAATCTGCAGGCTTCCCAAGCATTCTACAGGCCTCGTTTTTTCAATATACACACACATACACATACACATACCATATATACAATAAAAGTGTAGCAAACTGTAAACTATCCACTAGATATTTTTCTGAGTATTAAATGGAAACATGCCTTTTTTTTAAATTAGAAGGCTAGATATTTTGTCCTCTCATAGAATATTTGCCATGCTAAATAGTTTGACTTTTGAAACAGGCTTTTTATGTTTTGGCCAATTCTAAATGAGGAGAATAAAAATTAAAGTACTGGTTTCCATTAGGAAGTTCAGTCCATAACCAAACGTGTTTGCAATCCATTGACTGATTTAAATGGCTAGGTGCAGTTAAAAAAATTTAGCTATATTTTTAGAAGTATCAAATATTAAAATTGCAATAGGATAACTACCAGCCATATCAGAATTAAATTACAGATTTTGATTAAATTAAAATTAAATGTCAATCCTAATAAATTCATAGCAAACTCTAAAATAAACTGTCTCAAAAGATGCCAGAAACCTAATGTTTATGGAGATTCTCAGCCATCCAGGTCATGGTTGTCCCAAAGGTGCTTTTTCAAGTTCAGTTGCCTCTTGAAAAAGCACCTTTGGGATGCCAGAAACCTATATTCTAAATGCCAAAAAACAAGGGGAGGGGGGAACCATTTTTATGAGGTGCTTCCCTAATTATGAGGCCACTACTGAAAATTCCTTTTTCATATATTATTTTATTTCCCATACTGTCCTGAGAGTGATATTTGATATTCCAGCCAGGCTCCAATGTCTTACACAACTAGTAAAAGCAGGAGTCTTCCATGTCAACAGTTTCTTGTATCACATTGGTAAATTTTACCTAGTTTTGAGTTTGAGGTAAATTAACTATATATTCACCCAGTGGCAAGTGAGGAAAGAGTCAAATATTCCTTAACTTTCTCTGTTTTTGCTCCGATATCAATTGAAGTAGAATAGCTGCGAGAACAATAATTGAATTTATGTCATCAGTCCTGAATAATGGAGCTTGTTTCTCCTCTCTCTTTGATTCCAGACCCCAGCGTTAAATTTGCTCTGGGAAAAGTCCTGCAGTGACAATATGATGGTCCGGACAACCTGCTGTGAGGCTGTGGTGAAGCTTGTCAAACAAGATCATGCAGAGTTTGGCTACATTCTTAACACAGCACTCAGCCTCATTCCTTCAGCCAGGTGATGGTCATTTCCTTTAATTAAAGATTTGATTTGATTTTGTAGTTCAGAATCAGTGATACCATCTTGTAAAAAGAAGGTAGGCTTTGTGAAGTTTCCGCTGTTCGCCCATGAGGCCAATGTTGAGAAAAGACAGGAGACAAATTTTCTCGGGATGGAGCGACCCAGATGGGAACCTGAGAGCCCCTTTTATTGAGACAGGACAAAGGCAGGAGGAGCAATAACATGTGATAGAAAACAGCCTGTAAAAGTTCAATTTCTAATCTACTGCTTCAGGAAAGTTCTCTCTATATATGGTCAAATCCTGGGCGTCAATGGTAGGGCACATCTCAGAATGTTATGTTATTCACTATCAAGATGTTATGGCTTTCTCGGAGCCAGTTGTCTCCTGTGTGATTCAGCGTGACTCTGCAGGCCCTAGTGTGAACTAGGCCATGGAGGACACACACCTACACAAGGAACCATATTACAACAAGGCTTGACCCCGGGGGAAACGCGAAAGAGCCATGGAGGAAGGAAGGAATGTGATAATAAGGTAGAAAAAAATTATATGGGTTGTCTTTGACTTACAACCACAGTTGAGCCCAAAATTTCTGTTGTTAAGTGACACATTTGTTAAGTGAGTTTTGCCCTGTTTTATGACCTTTCTTGTCACAGTTGTTAAGTAAATTACTGCAGTTTTTAAGTAAGTAACGTGGTTGTTAAGTGAACCTGGATTCTCCACTGACTTTGCTTGTCAGAATGTCGCAAAAGATGATCACATGACCTTGGGACACAGCAGCAGTCATAATTATGAACCAGTTACCAAGCATCTGAATTTTGATCACATGATCATAGGGATGCTGCAAAGGTCATAACTGTGAACACTGGTCATAAATCACATTTTTCAGTGCTGTTGTAACTTTGGACAGTCACTAAACAAACAGTTGTAAATCAAGGATTACCTGTACAATCCTGAGACAGAGGAAAGCATGAGAAAGATGCAAAATAACTCTACCTCGGTTTTGTTTAATATATAATGCAGCAGAGAAAAACTTGGACAGGTTTTTCTAGATCCTGTTTTTTACCTTATTGCAACAAAGAACATTCCAGGAATCCTTTCTGGTGACCTGGCCTACCTCACAGGGCTGACACCTCTGCTATTTTCTGCTCCAGTGTCCCTCCTTTCCCAGTGTCCAAACATTAAATAGTGATGGGGCTTCAGAGTCAAGTTGTTTTTCCTGATCTATGGAACACCCAACCTCTCTCTCTCTCTTTTTGTCATTCAGAGATTCTCTCTACAGGTCTTGGGCCTGGGTCAAATAACAATGCTTTTCTTCCAAGAAAGCTGTTGGGCATGTAACAGTTTCCTTATAATGCTCAAAGGTATTCTCAGCTTCGTTCAAACATTTTGGTGCTGTGAATGAAAACACAACCAAATACTTTTTTTTTGCCATTTCTTTTGAGACCCCAGTGATCTTATTGAATTGACTATGGATTCAGTGTTCATGAGGTCTTTGTCAACCCAAACCCAAACAGATTTTATGGAAGTTTGCCAAAGCTAAACATGTTCGTTGATGTTCTGCCTCTTCTCTTCTCTTCTTAAATTGGAGTTAGATAAATGTTGGAGCAGAGAGTGGTGCAGCAAAAAATAAATAGGTAAATGATGAAAAAGAATAATTGCAATGACGCTGAAGCTTAATCACCCAAGAGATTTCTGCTCTTTGCATAGAGGTTGTTTTATTGCTCAAGGTTAGTAATTTGGTTTTCCACCTGTACTGTATTATAAGGTCATTGACCCTCAAAGTCAGAGATTCTATGATTTGTACCATCAAAACATATTTCTACATTCTATTCTAACTTTCAAAAAATTACATTTTGAACGTGCCTTGCTTCAACTATTAAAAGCAATACATCCCTTTCAACCCCTAACCCAGCACAGTAAAACAGCAATCTTTTTTTACACACTACCAAAATACTCTATTAAACGCTAGCTGTGTTACCAGCATATAACATACATTAGGGTATCACTGAAAAATATAATCCAAGTCCTGAAGAGGGTTAAAGAAAACTAGGTTACTTGTCAAAGTAAGAGCAGGAGTTAAGCTAAACAAGAACAGGAAAATAAAACAATTTCTGCAATATCTTCTTGAGCATATAAGCCCCATTTTCAATGAGAACATCAGGAATTTCTTGCAAATCCTGAGCCTCATTGACAGAGAATCAGAGGAACTATGGATTGAACATAACAAAGTTGTTAAGGAGGAATGTGAAAACACACTGCCAAAGACAAAGAAACAAGAAATCAACATAGGATGTCAGAACAGATCATGGAAATTACCAAGGAAAGGAAGCTAGAGCCAAGAAAAACAAAATCTCAAGAAGAAACCTATCAAACAATTTCAGAAATATCAATAGCAATAGTAATAGCAGTAGACTTATATACCGCTTTATAGGGCTTTCAGGCCTCTCTAAGCGGTTTACAGAGAGTCAGCATATTGCCCCCAACAATCTGGGTCCTCATTTTACCCACCTCGGAAGGATGGAAAGCTGTTAGAAGAGACAAAAAACAGTACTAAGAGTACTTCTGTAAAGATACTGGAGATGGAAACAGACATGGAAATCATGGAAAGTCTTCCAAAATATCTCTGAACTCTAGAAGTGGGTTGTAACCTCAAACTAATATGCTAAAGCAATGATGGAGAACCTTTTTCCCCACGGGTGCCAAAAGCACGCATGCGCATGCCCACACCCCTAATTCAATCCCCCCGCATCCCAACCCCTTTCTATGCGCATTCAACCCCCATGCTCTCACGCATGTGTGTATGATCACCTGCACCCTGTTTTGGGCCTAGCAGGCCTCATTGAAGCCTCCGGAGGCCTGAAATGGCCCATTTCCCAATTTCCGGTGAGCCAGGTAGGCCCATTTTCCACCCTCCCCAGGCTCCAGAGATTTTCTGGGAGCCTGGGGAGGGTGAAAACGTTCTCCCCTGCCTGCCCGGAGGCTCTCCGGAGGCCAAAAACGTCCTCCCAGAGCCACCATCTGAGTTCTGTACTTATCTGGCATCATGTGGAGACTCCTGGGAAGGGAAGGGCAGCGTGGGTGGGCCAGCTGAAAATCAGCTGACCGCACTGGGGCAAACTAGGGCCTGAAGATATGGCTATGCGTGCCACAGGTTCACCATCATGGTGCTAAAGGATGCCAGTAGATAGCTTCAACTGATTCAAAAAATGGAATGAATAGCCTTAAATACTGTAAAATGAAGTTGTCAATGTCCAAGATATTATAGAAGATATTTCTACTTACAAGAACCTCTAGTACTAGAAGATGAAATTAAATCAATATCCAGTTTTTACCTAGTCAGAAGGTGCAGAAATGGGTGGAATATTTGCTTAAATATGGCAACCAACAGAAGAAGAATCAGTAATGATTCTAACCAGGCTATTAGCAAAATGGGTGAAGATTCTAATGAAGCAAATCTGGAGGACAACACAGTGGCCAACAGATTGGAAAATTTATATCCCAATATGAAAAAGAAGACTTAACAGAGTATGCAAACTATTACACAATATCCTTAATTTGATATATCAACAAAATAATGCTTGAGATCATCCAATGCAGATTGGAGCCTACATAGAAAAAGAGATGCCAGATGTTCAAGCTGATGCTAAAAAATGCTAAGCCACAAAATATATTGCTGAGCATGCTGAATAATTAAGAAAGCCAAAAAATACCAGAAAGAAATCAGCATGTGCTTCATTGATTTATAGAAATGCTTTTGATTATGTCAACATATGAAACTGAAACGTCAATTTAAAAAATTGGGAATCCCAGGACATCTCATTGTCCTCAAGCATTGTCCTCGAGCCCTCAAGAAAATATGTATATATATAGATCAGGAAGCCACAATATGGATAGTACATAATAAAACACATTGGTTTCAGGTCAGCGAAGGGGTGAGAAAAGTGTTGATGACAGGGAATGGCCTTGATGGACAGTTGGGAGGTAAAAGGAGACTGAAGCTGCATCAAGAGAGTAATTTGGTAAGCCCATTCCCTAATTCAGTGGAGATAAAGGGAAGGAGCATATTCAGACTTGCAAGATTCTGTTACTATAGATTTTATAATAAAAATAGTATTAATCTACCTGACATTAGTTTCTCAGTTTGATCTACCTTGTAGGACTGACTTTATACTATCCATTTATTCAACCCATATCCTGAATATATATATTAAGGGAATTTTGATTGGAAGCAGATGAATATGTGAATATGTTACTTTGGAGGAAGAAAAATCAATAACCTAAGCTGAAAATACAAAAGATCTCTAAGCTCTAGTAATAATAGTTAAAAAGAAAAAATGGAAATGAAATTAAATATAAAGAAGACAAACAAATGACAACAGCTAGAACAACCATTCTTAGAATTCACAAGATATCTAAGTGGTAAATAGCTTCTACCTTTCAGGATCAACAATCATTAGTAAAGGAAAGAGCAGTCAAATAAATCACAAACAAGATAGAGCAGCTGCGAAAGTCTTTGAAAGGATGTTCAGATGCTGTGATGTATTTATACTCACAAAGATCAGAATAGTGCAAGAAATGACATTCCCTGTGGCACCCTATGAAAGCAAAAATTAGACTTTGAAGAAGTAGAACAGGAAGAATATTGCTGTTTTTTAACTTCGCTGTTGAAAAAGACTCCTGGGAGTACCGTGGACAGCCAAGAAAATAAAAAAGTAGATCATTAAACAAATCAATCAAGCTGGTGCACTGGAGGCTGAAATTATCCTACTTTGGATTAATTATGCAAAGACAGAGCTCTCTGAAGAAGGCTGTAATGCTGAGAGTGAAAGAGGAGAAGAGGACAACTAGCAGAAAGGTAAGTGGACTCAATTACAATGGTGATTTATATACCATTGGAAGATTTGAAGGATTAGGTTAGGAACAGGTCATGGACAAAATCTAGATGATTGCTAAGAGTCAACACCAACTTAACAATACATAATCAAATGGGCTGTAGACAGTAAGGAAGGTGACCTTGATGGAAATATGCAAGCTCTTTCACCAAAGTGATGGGTGAAACAAAACTTAAGTCCACAACATACAGAAAATATATGAAAGGGGCTCAGAAAGAGTCCACTCCCTAATTCACCACAGTATAAGAAGAGGGATGATATATAGCACAATTAAAAAAATGGATGCAAAGAGCCAGTCAAGACCTTGGGTTCCCCTCTCAGTTGGCTTTTAGAAGCCTGGAGGATAGTATCCATTTTGTCTTGGTCTTCAGTATGTTTTTTTTTCCCTTCAAAAGGACACTAGGTTCATATACTTCCTTTTCTAATTACTTTTGGAAAATGTTTATTAACTGTTTTTCAGCTATTAGAAACTTTTGGATTGTGTGAGTTTTATAACACTACAGTATGTGAATTTCCTTTAAACAGTGAAAGAAGTTTTAGCAGTAAATTTAAGAACTTTAAGAAAATTATGGAATAAACAGCAAGAATGATTAAAACTTTAATTTTAGAAAGATAAAAATGGACTAAGTATCCAGTTAAATTTGCAATAAGATTTTGGAATTAATTATAAGCAACCTTTCCCATGTGAAAATTGTTTCGTTTTAAAACATCATAGAAGATTTTTTAAAAATGGATACTAAGGGAAACCAGAAGGAATTAAAATTACAGTTAGAAGAGAAAAACTCTTAAACTCAATTTATAGTTACAGAATGAAATGAATTATTTTAACATTAGACATTTTGAAGAATACTTTTGTACAATGGACTGAGAATTTAACACTAGAGGTGACTATAGATAGACTGTGTCTAAAGGATTTTATGGAAGTGGAGCAAGTTCTACCTGATAAGAGTAGGACTGAGTTGAAAGTACCCATGTTTCCCCCAAAATAAGACCCTGTCTTATAATTTTTTCCACCAAAAAAGACACCAGGTCTTATTTTGGGGTGGAATATAATTCACTGACTCATATCACTTGCACATGTCGTCCCCGGCCTCCTTATCATTGTTAGAGGCCTTCAGGAACTTCTTTGGCTTGCAAGGCTTTCCTGAAGGCCTCTTCAGCCGATAACAAAGCTCCGGATTGATCTGGAGCTCTGTTATCGGCTGCAGAGGCCGTCAGGAAAGCTGTGCTGGCCTTGTCAGCTGCAGAAAAAATGGGCCAGCAGGGCAGGTGTCAAGGTGTGTGAAACCTGGCTGCAACTGTCCAAAGGTAAGTAGTAGGGGAGTTCCACCCCCCTATTACCACCCTAGCTTAACTTTTACCCGTGCACCCTGAAGTGAACGGGGTTTTAATTAGGGCTTATTTGGGGGGAGGGCTTATATTGGGTGCACTTGTAAAAATCAAGCTGTGACTTTCGGGGTAGGTCGTATTTTCAGGGAAACATGGTAGATTTCTATAAGAATGTCATGGAAAAAGATTCTACACTAGACATACAAAAACTTTGCTGATGTCTTAACAATTAAAAGGGATACCGAAACAGCAAAAGGAAGAGAGTGACCTGGGTAATTTTGCTATACTTATAAAAAGTGGCTTGTTAATGTTTTGAAGAGTTTTGTGATAAGGAACAAAGAAACAATAAGATTCAATGATATTACTTGAAGGGATTAAAGACTGAGATGGTTAGAATAAAGGAAGGAATATAAAGTTGGTTTATTTAATCAAAGTTAAACTAAGTACTGGTATGCTGTTAATTGACTTTTTGCTGACATCAGGACTGACACTTAAGGATCTCTGGTGTATGCATACCTGTTATATCTCCAAAGAGAATACTTTCAAAATTAAGGCTGTCTTCTGATAATGCCTAAGAGATAATTTACTATGTAAAACTGGGCATATAGCTATAGGAATCAGAACAAACCAAATGAAAAAGTGGTATATTGAATTATGTTTTGATCCTGCATTAATGATATATACTGGTAAGTTATTTCAAATTAAAAATATGTTAAGAGACATCATGAAAATGTTTCTCTTTTTGTAGAAATCTGTTGATTGAACATGCATTTTTACTTTGCTTTTGATAGGAATGTCCAGGGCTTGATAAAAATCATTGTAAAGCTATTACAGATGCAAGCCTTGAAGACATCACAAAGTGAAGAACAGCAACAGCTTGACTTATATGCAATTAGGTATGCCTTAAATCAGTCAAATTTGGCATGTTGTTTTGAATGGTAACATGATTAATATTGCAAGTACCAAGGATTCTCATTATTTGCAGTATTGATTTTATAAAGTCATTTTGAACACTAAATTAATGAGTGCTGAAACTTTAGCTAAGAATATGTGTCTTGGACAACCCAATTTTCCTCCATTCTGCATGTCCATAAATGACCACATGTTCCTTGAGATTAAGAGGAAGAGCCACAGTCAAGGCAATGATCAGATAAATCTGAGTAAATAATAAATAATAATCAATAAATCAGATAAATCCAAATCAAGAATGGAATTTGAGAAAATATCTGAAGCTTAACCTTCCCTATTAAGGCAAGGAACTGAAAGAAACATTTGGATTTACAAGACTAATGTTAGCACTTTGAAGTAAAAAAGACTGAAACCCTAACATTATGAATATTAAAACTCTTTATTACAGGGTTACAGTAATCAAACCTTGCAAGATTTCTCTTTATCTGACTATTGTATTGGCTGTGACTTTTCCTCCTATTTCTCAAGTTTATCTTCACAACCCATTATATCACAAAAATGTCACAAATGTTCATTTTTGTAGTTACAAATACATTTAATCAGTAGATAAATGTGAAAATATGAAATCTGCAAATAAGTATTAGTTGCAGGTGTGCAAATAAAAAAATTGCCTGAAATGTTGGTTCCTAAAAATATAATAAAATCCGCTTTGTTAGGCAACAACTACAAAAAAAGTAGAACTAGGTTTGGGGGGAAAGCCTAAAGCTGGAAAGTCATTTTGGTTTAGTGGTTAAGGCACTGGGCTAGAAAGCAAGGGACTATGAGTTCAAGTCCCACCTTGGCCATGAAAACCAAATGAATGACCTTAGGTCAGACACACTCTCTCAGCTCACATCACCTCAATGGGTTGTTGTAAGAAAATAGGAGGAGGAAGATGTGTTGGTTATGTTCACTCCTTTGACTTATTTGTAAAAATAATAAAGGCTGTACATAAATAAATAAAACAAAACTTCGGCTAAACCTTTGGCTTAGTATTCTCCAATCAGCAGCATATGTTCAAGTAGACAATTATGGAGAATGATGAAGGGATAGAAATGCGGCTTGAGGTTAATAGACACATGTTTACAGTGAAAGGGTTTAAATCTCCAAAGCCAAAGTAAAAACCTCCTGCATTATAGATATAACCTAATTATTTGATCAAATCTATATCCATTAACAGTGAAAAAGCCCAGAGAATTGGTGAAATGCCAGACAATTTAAAGAGAGTAATTGATTCTTTTTTAAAAAGAGGCGAAAGGATTTGGGGGAAGTGAAATTTGATACCTGAAAGATATTTGCGAAGATAATAAAACAACAGGTCTATAAACACTTTGAATGCAAATACAGTGATTACTGGAATTCAGTATGGATTTGGTGAGAACAAATCTTATCAGACAGACTTCCTCCCTCCCTCCCTCCCTCCCTCCCTCCCTGTAGATCAGGAGAATACTTTGAACACAAAAAGAAATTAGTCAGCAAAGTATTTTACAACATAGCCTATACCATTAATTAACAATTTAGTTTATAGTATGTCTATTAGGTGGGTCAATAGCTATTAAAAACTTGAAACTTAACAAGCGAATTGGAAAGGTGTATTTAGTGGAGTGATATAGAGTCAGAGTTTGTATAGAGAGTTCTTTAGAATTAAATAATAACTTGGATGGCAAGGTGAAAAGTAAAATTGCAAATGACATGAAATTGAATATCACAGTTAACAGCAACAAAATCAAAGCCAAAACGTGCCAGAAAATCAGAATGAATTTTAACAGAGGCAATTTCGTATTTTTTCATTTGAGTGAGTGGGTGGAATACAGTTCTGAACAAGCTACATTCTGTATATCAGAAAATATGAAATATTACCCAGTATTTTTCCTCTATTATCATTTTTTCTTTGTAATGGCCTTTGAGCATCTGAAAAGAGACAGTAGTAAGGAGGGCACAACACAGTATGTATAGTATGAAATTGTACGCATATATTCATTCACATCAAAGAAGAAATGTTATGCATTTATTATTTAAAATTTATGCCTTTAGGAACATATTGTAGGAAAAATTTCTGCTATCACAATAATAAACATATCTTCATTAGAGTCATTATCACCATTCATGAAGGTCATTAAAGAGTTAGTAATGTATTGCCTTTAAATACAGCTTTCATTCTGTATACATGAACATGTACTCCTCTTCTATTAACAAAGCATATCTAATGGGCAACTCTCTATTTTATTAAAATACTGAATTTATGGTTGTGTTTATTTTTAGGATAATCAGATTTGCAAGTTTTATTTTTAATGCATTTCTCCTCATTTTTGTTTTCTCACAGAAACTCTCCTCACCCTCTAATTATTATAGTTGAAAACAGACCTGATTGCTGGCCATTCCTTCTTCAACATATGACCACATTTTTCCAGCAATGTCCAAAAGGGTAAGAAAATAAAATAAGTATAAGTAATTGGTGACACAGTTGGCCTCTAGGTTCTTATGTGAATTCAATACAGGATTTTTGCTGCTGATTAATAGAGTGGTAACAGGGCATAGCATTTTAGGCTTGAAGCCCTATAGTGCTTTACAGTATTTCTGGGCAGTTTACAGTGTAAGTATTATTTGCCTATTGCCCCCAACAGTCTGGGTCCTCATTTTACTGACCTCAGACAAATGGAAAGCTGAGTCAACTTTGAGCCCTTTTCAGGCTCAAACTCCAGGCTGTGGTTAGAGTTTGCCTACAATACTGTACATTAACTCTGCCACTAGTTCAGCAAAGTGTAGTATTCTGCCAATAATCATATCATATTAACGTGGTTAAAATACCACTTGTTTCTTCACTGTTTCACAAATTGTATTAGATACCTAGGCTGATTCATGTTTCAGGTAGCCTATGGACTTTCGAACAGTTGGGCTTGATTGTCTTCTATGATCCTTTATCTAGTATATACCCATGAAAATACTAAGGTATTGGATAAGGTCTTGCTGGTTGCACTGCAATCTGCAGATTGTCACCTATTTTGTCTCTCATTCTTTCTAATCTTTTCTCTGATTAGGAATCAACAACTGCTCTGTATTGTAGAAGATATTTTAATTCAGGTCTCTTCAGCTTGAAGTAGCAGTGTTTTATTTGCTTCCCTTTGGTTGCATTTGTTGGTTTGCATGTTTTAAATAAGGGATGTGGTAGCTCAGTGGCTAAGACACTGAGGTTGCCAATCAGAAAGGTCGGCAGTTCGGCGGTTTGAATCTCTAGCGCCGTGTAACGGAGTGAACTTCTGTTAATTATCCCAGCTTCTGCCAACCTAGCAGTTTGAAAGCACGTAAAAAATGCAAGTAGAAAAATAGGGGCCACTTTTGGTGGGAAGGTAACAGCGCTCTGTGCACCTTCGGCGTTTAGCCATGCCGGCCACATGACCATGGAGACGTCTTCGGACAGTACTGGCTCTTCGGCTTTGAGACAGAGATGAGCACCATCCCTAGAGTTGGGAACGACTAGCACACATGTGCGAGGGATGCCTTTACCTTTATGTTTTAAACCTTGAGGGTGTAGAAATTAATTACTTTTTTTTGTATTTTTCTAATTTATTGTATACCAAAGGAAACGATCGATACATTGATCTGATAAATGTCTTGCAGTTTCTTAAAATTATTTCTTACAATTTCAGGGCAGAACGTGCATGTGTCAATATAATGAGGCCATTTCTAAGGTACCTATATTGTGAACCTTACCAGTTGCGGGAGCATGCAGAATTACGGATGAGCCTGCTTAGAGTCTTGCTTCAGCCATATGGACCTTTCAACAAAGAGGAGCCCCCTGGCCTTGAATGCCATCTCCTTCAATTGTTTTGTGACCTAGTCCCGTATTATCAGGTAAAGCTTCTCCAGTGCTAACCTCTCAGTGCACATTATTTTATTTATTTACTTTCTATTTTTTTCTTAATTTCTTTAATGTGTATGTGGCCAGGGAGTACAATGGCTCAACCCATTCCCTCCTGCAGCCACCTTGAAGAGGAACTCTGAGCTTAAGGGAAACCTCAGATTGTACATGAACTCTGCCTGGAGGAGAGTTACCCCACTCAAAGATCACTGCATACAAGGGACCCTGAGACCCATAGGCATTTGTTCTTGTCAGGGTTGATCCAGACTCTCATGGATTCCAGTCATTAGGAAAGCACCTTGACAATATTACTTGGCAGCTGGGGAGAGAGATGTACAACTAAGTATCATCAGCACAATATCAGGGAGGTGTTTCTAGAATGCATATAGAGATGGGATCTTAGATTACCTATTCCAGCTAAATTGACATACTAGGAATACAATACCTCTCTCTATGTAAATTCTTCATTTATACATATCTGCCAACATTTTATGTGGTCCTCAGTGCTGAGCCTTTGCATGAATGATGCAGTCTTGTTTCTTTTGTTTCTGTAGGTAAAAGACGCTCTACAGATCACGGAAGCATTGCTTTTTTTGGAGGGATTATTTCGGAGTCTGCTGCGTTACCCTAGTTTTTGGAAGAAGCAATTGTGTCACCTTTGTCTGCAGCTTCTGGTTTTCTGTGAGGTTAGCCTGCAGGCCACAGGGGAATGTTCATCTTTAATTCGCTTAATGGAGGAAAATGTTGAGCTTCTGAAAGAGGTAGGCTCTCTGAGGAATAAGATAACTTTTAAATATGTATTATACCTAATTTGAGTGATGGCCCTTAACTTTTGGCCTTAGTTGTAAGGCTTTTGTTAATAAGCTGGACTAGGAACAGGTATCTCAGATATTTAAGGACACAAGAGTTGCTGATAATTAGATTTATTGTAGAAAAATGTAAGTCATCATGTAACTTTATAAGCATCTATATACTACCAAAACTCTCATTTTTACAACTTTTAACTGGACAAAACTGTGCATCCTAGGTCAACAATTTTTAACCAAGGTACTTTAAATGGACTAACTTACAGAATGTGCCCCAAATCTAGGAGCCATATCATCTGAGACAATAAAATTTGGGAAAATTGTTTATTCCTTAAGTATATGTTGGGCTGAGGCTTCACTCATGTGATCTTTATTTTCAATATTTGCAGTTTCCTAGCCACTCTCACAATCCCTCAATCCCTTGCCCATCTAGCAGCAGCCACTTACATAGAGGAGGAAGAAAGAAAGGGGGAGGGAGGGAGGAAGGGAAAGAAGAACAGGAAGGATGGAACCCCACCTCCCAGGTCTTCTCCCATCTGCCTAAAGTACTCTGTGCTGATTACCTTACCACACTGCCTCTCTATTCTCTGCTTGAATTTTGGCTTCCTCTCATTTCTAGGGTCTGGCTGCAAGAGCTGCCTCCTGAAGGATGTCAGCTCTCCTCTGAGTTCGGAAAGGAACAGCTTCTGCTGGGTGGAGAAATGGAGTTCAAATTGTTACGATCTGAGTTCCATTTTTGCACTGAATGGAAGGATGTCAGCTTTTTTCTGCAGGCAGAAAGAAACTTCTTCCATGAGGTGCTGAAACAGATATCAAATCATCAGGATCGGAGCTCTGTTTATCCACCTTGCTGAAGGAGTTCAGTGCCTCTTGGTGGACAGATCTTTTAGCCAATCCCCAGAGACAAGAGAAAGTCCTTTTGGTTGGCAATGGCAGCTTATAACTTTCCCTGCCTGCTTCCCCATTGACTTTCTGGGAAAGCTGGTAGAAAAGATTTAAAATGATGATAACATGTTTGGCAACTGGTTGTAAGTCCCAACAGGTTGCTAAATGCTTAGATCGTGATTATGTGATTGCAGGAGAGTGAGTGCTGGGCTGTTCCATGTAAACATCCTTTCCGAGGCCATTATAACTTTAAACAATTGTTAAACAAACTTTGAGGTACCATATTTTTCGAGCTATAAAATGCACTCCCCCCCCCAAAAAAAGTGGGTGGAAATGTTTGTGTTTCTTATAGAGCAAATGTTGCCGAAGCCCCACCAACCCACCAGCCCCCACTCTTCAGCTTCTGCCTCCCAGCAATTTGCTTCCTTGCAACAAACAGCAAATAGCTTAGTCAGCATCAGCACAGCCTGATTTAACACAAGCAGCTGATTGGCAGTTGGATTGGCCTCCCAGAATACCAACAATCAGCTGTTCCAGGCTGTGGGGATCATTGCCACCTATCGCTGCCTTCGCATGCCCCATTTTTGGCCTCTGTGTGTCCTGTTTTCTGTGTGTCCCATTTGGTGGTGATAGGTAGCAGTGATCCCCACCACCTGGAATGGGCTGAAAATGGGACACATGGAGACCAAAAATGGGGCACATGGAGGTAGCGATAGGTGGTGGCAATCCCTGCAGCCTGAAACAGTTGATCGTTGGTATTTCTGGGAGGCCAATAATCAGTTGCTCGTGCTAAATCAGGCTGTGCTGAAGCTGACCAGACTGTTTGCTGTTTGCTGCAAGGAGGCAAATTGCTGGGAGGCAGAGGCAGGTTTTTTTTGTTTTTCTCCCCAAAACCTAGGTGCATCTTAGAGTCCAGAGCATCTTATAGTCCAAAAAATATGTGTATTATCAATTCTTCATTTTTTTAAACAGCTGAAATTATCTTTACTAGAAGTCAGGGTTATGCAGACACAAGAAAAGCATTGTGTTAGAAAAGCAAGGCACAAATCATAATTCATAAAATACATGCTAAAATAGAATATACAAAGAAGTCATGTCATTGGCTTAACACAAAGAGTGAAGCCAGTCATTATCTAGCTATAGTGTTTCAGGTAGCATTTTTTTTTCTATCTTCTGTATGATTATGCTAGGAAATAAATCTGAGTCTTACTGTCTTTGTTCCTGTTGGAACATTTTTAGTAATGTAGAGAATTACAGGATTCGCTAGTTTACAAATCAAGGATTCATTATTTGTAAAAGCTGACTGTAAAAGAAAATTAACTTTTTTGACAAGTGAGCAGCTGTGTGTGGAGATTACTCTAACCTTATTATAAAATGGAACAGTATAAATTAGCTATGCTACATAGACTTTTTGGCTTTGTTTTTTCTTGTGTAATGAGGATCAAAGAAAGCTGTTGTTGCAGTCCAAGACCAGAGAAGGGAAATCTGGCTGGCGTTTTTCATGTATATATACACTTATTCAAGCAATATGTTTAAACACCAGTTAGTATTCATTAACTCTCTTGGGAGGAGTCAGAGTCAGAGTCAGTCACTGGCTCTTATGTTATGACACTGTTGCCTGCTGCTGCGGAAATGGAAACATGGAAAGTAGCTATGTTACCAGCACCAAGTAAAATCAGAAAGAACTTAAGAGTTATTTATTTTACATGTTAAGGCTGAGGAAATATGCTTCATTTGATTTTTTTTAAAGCCAAGAGTGTAAAATTTGCTTAGGATGTTTATTTCCATAGGCTGTGTTGTATGTTAAACTTGGAAAGAAAAACAGACTTGATTGTGTATCTTGGTTCTTCAGGGTTTTCCATTTCAGATGACCATCATTGGATTAGGCGTGCTCCTACTGCAGATTCCAGCTAGTCAGCAAAAGCCTATTTTAAATCTAGGTAAGACTTCATTGTAAAATTTTAATAATTCCCTGAAAAAATTACTTCCTTTATTTAGCTTTCTGGGGGGGAACATTTTCTTAATAATTTCAGATTATCAGGAAGTATCACTTTGTTGTTATTGTTGGCAACAATAATAGATTGAAATTGTTGTTCATAAAGATGAATAGGAGATTATATGTCATAAATATATATTTGTTTAGCTATTTTTATGCCCAAGGTTTTCATCCATTGTGAATGGGTGGACAATCAGATTAATAATTTATGTACTCCACATGCCAGAGTCACTGTCAACATTTTTCCATTAGTATTTAATAAAATCATAATGAACACTTAATAAAATACAAATAAAGATTGTTAAAGAAGGAAAAGAAAAAAAGAAATCTGAAAAAAGAAAATATTAATAGATTTCCAGATAAGATATACTGAAATTGAGTATCGAGACTTTCCCTCTTCCCAACTATTGGTCCTAATCCAAAGTACTTCATCTCCCTCTAAAAATGTAAAAAGAAAAATACTGAGCATTTAAAAAGCTGCTACTACATTTCTTCAAATGTAGTACACAATAAACTTCTCTGGAGCATCTGTGACAAATTGCTGGAAAAAAGGGAAAAAAAGAATTAATTTCTTTTTGATTTCCTGCCCAGTGGGCTTTTCTGAATAACATCTGCTTCTGAACTGTTTGTGGAGTCAGATCTGGAGAAATCATTATCTCCTTTGTATTTTATTCCAAAAATCCCACTAGCTGGGATAAATGCTGGCTGTGATCCCATAGAGTACATCTTAAAAACTTCATAGCAGTAGGACAGTAAAAACTCAACATAGTTCTCCCCCCGCCCCCCAGTTACTTTATCTTACTCTTGTGGATGGGGAATAAATGTGTCGGAAGCTAAAGCTTTCTGTTGTTCTACAGCTCACCTAAGTAGCTACTTTCCCTGGAAACAATGGTCCAATTCTTATTTATTATATTTTTGTGGTTTGCTTACAGTTCCTAGGTATTGAGAAATGAAGCAAGACAAAGGGTTTTCCACTTAAGTATTAGAGCTACCTATTAAATGCAATGAAAATATGCTGAAATACTACCTCATCCTTGAGGTTTTTTTTAATGCTCTTTGAGTTTGGTTGTTTTCTTACAGATGTTTCATTACCCAAACTAGATAACATCAGTGTGCGCTGATGTTATCTAGTTTGGGTAATGAAGAAAACCACCAATGAAGAAAACAGCCAAGCTCAGAAAGCACCAAGAACTCCGCATTTCAACTCTGAGCTTTCTTGGTCCCTTGTCCTTGGAAGGTATCAAAGTTATAAACTCAGTTTGTCACCATTCGACCCAGGAATCTCAAATTCTCACTTGTACATTGATTCCATAATAAATTTACATTTAGTATTGTGGGAGCTGATATTCTCTGAATGAGACAGAATTGTAAAATTATATTAGAATTAAAAAATATTTGTCTACTGAAGGAACTTTCAATATACATGTGAATGCAGCCACTTAATTATGATTCCCTAGAACCATGATGGCGAACCTATGGCACACATGCCACAAGTGGTACATGAGCCATCTGTTCCAGCATGCATGCATGCGTCGGCCAGCTGATTTTTGGTCTTTTGGAGGGCTATTTTCATCCTCCCCAGGCGTCAGGAAAGCCTCTGGAGCCTGGGGAGGGCGAAAAACAGGGCCAACTGGAAGTTTGGAAATGATCCATTTCCGGCTTCCAGAGGACCTCCAGGGGCCAAGGAGGCCATTTTCAACCTCCCCAGGCTTCAGGAAACCCTCTGGAGCATGGGGAGGGCGAAAAATGGGCCCAACAAGCCACTGGAAGTTTGTAAATGATCTGTTTCCAGCTTCTGGAGGGCCTCCGGGAGGGCAGAAGAGGCATCCTCCCCATTCAGGAAAGCCTCCGGAGGCTAGGGAGGGTGAAATCTCCCCCCTGCACATGGGGGAGGGGTCATGTGTGCATGCGCAGGGGTCATCTGTGCATGCGCATATGGGTGGGGTGCATTGAATTGTGGGTGTGGGCATGCATCACTGCCGTAGGATGTTGAATGTTGCATGTTTTTGAATACCCTTGTATTCTAAAGGAAGATTTTGTCTACTGCTTTTCAGTATTGTATTAGATCAGTGTTTCCCAAAGTGTGGTACGCGTACCCCCAGGGGTACTGGAAGAGTTTGGTGGGGGTACGCGTTGCACCGGAGTTTGGTGGGGATCACGTGGGAATATCACAACAGGAGAAGGTATCTTTAATGTTATGAATACATTTATGCAAGAGAACAAAATTGATTGGAATAGATGTGTTGGAATAAGCACAGATGGAGCAAAAAGTATGGTCGGAATTAATAAAGGACTCGTTGCAAGAATTCAAAATGTTGCTCCAAATGTCATATCCACACATTGTTGCATACACAGAGAGGCTTTGGCAACACGTAAGATGCCCGCTGATCTACAGAAAGTTCTGGATGAAAGCATGAAAATCATTAACTACATTTTTTTATGTAGTTATGAGGGGTGCTCAGTGTTTTTTATGAGGGGTACTCAGCGTTACGAATATTATAGAAGGGGTACACATATGTCAAAAGTTTGGGAAACACTGTATAGATGGTTCTGGGTTTTAAAATTCTTAATACAGATGTTCTCTTGTTTTTATAGCCATCAAGCTTCTATCAGGTTCGGAAACCAAGATGACTCCATTGATGGCTGTCATCTTAGTGATGCCTGCATTGCAAATATTATCATCTACCACTGGTCAGGACAACATGATTGAGGAGAATGATAGCACGACTAGGCAGCAATTAGCCATTAATCTTCTAGAGATTGTACAGCAGGAAGAGCTTAAGGAGCAGCCCTTGGTGAGGTTTTCATGCTTATTTTTAAGTTTTCCAGCTGTGGGAAAATAATAATTATATAATAATTCAAACTTTCAACTCTTATTTCAAACCAAACAATGTAAAATATTAAAATATGTACTGAAGTATGGAGAAAGAATATTAGAATAAATCAAATTATGAAAGGGCAATATAAATAAGCACATGTGGTAATTGTTAGCTCATATCATATTTGTGACCTCTTAAAGGACATTGGATTGGCCTTTACTGAAGTAGAATCTTGGTTTGAGAAGGTCTTTTGGTTAATGTGTCAGGGCTGTTAGGTACCTAAAGAATGGGTGTCTAACCTTTGGATTGCCTGGGCTGCATTGAGTGAAGAGGAATGATCTTGAGTCATATACAAAATATATAATATAGTTAATGTATATAAATAAAGTGTATTTTTAATATTTTAATGCAATCTTGTGGAGCCTCATCGTATGGGCCATGGGTTGGACATGCCTGACCTAAAGTATGAGATCATGTTAAGTTCAGTGTTCTTGATCATGTTGTCCAGTGTTCTCTTTGTACAACAGTAGGCATTTAGCAATTCACAAGAGGATATTCAACAATCCAGAAGATGATTCTTCTTCTCTAGCATGATATGGCCAACATAACTGAAAGTTTTTCCATACTCAATGAAGCATATATTAAATAATTTTGGCATTATTGGGCTTTTTCAATTATTCAGTATAATAATGGCCCTTGCTTCTCAACCTTAAAAAAAAACTGCTTGAACATGAAAGGTTCTAGTTTGCACTGGATGATAGATAGCATTATTTAGCTAGCATTCAATTGTCCTTTCTTTGGTACTGGTTATACAAATTGGATTCTCCCAATCTGTTTGTGACTGAGTCATTTTCAGGTTTTGCTGGCATCATTTGGTTAGGACTTTTATCAATTCTTCTTCTGTTAACTTGCCATAGTTCTGTAGATATTCCATCAGTTCCTATTGCATTCTGATTTAGTAATAATGAATGTAGACCTAATTTTATCTTCTAGTACTGAAGATTCTTATGAATAGAGAATATTCTGAGAAGCAAAGTAAAATGGACGAAGCCAGATTTGTAGGTTGTTATATAGGAGGCCTATAAAGCTTCTCTCTCTTTGAGTTGTGACAGTTCACTTAGTGACCATTTGAAGTTACCCGATAATCCCCCCAAGTGTTTATGACAAAGTCTCAAAATTACAACTGTTGCAGCACCACAGCAGTAGTTCGCCCTTACAAACGACCACAGAGGCACTACAACATTCACCCTATTCTCTGCTCCCAACAACTGCTTCCCCTCCTCCCATCCTGCTGCACTCACTTATTTTGCAAAGAACTGTCTCCTCTCTGCCACAGTTTCTTTGCTTTTGAGGGAAAGGAGAGCAGGACAATTTTCCTTCCAGCATCCGGTCGGCTTGCAAATACTTTTTGTGCCAAGTGAAATGACAGTTACCTCATACGATTTCGGGCATCCATCCGCGCTGCAGGATTTGAGGGGGAAAACATGAGGTATCTCTAAGTCGGGGAGGCTTTGGGTGGCTGGTTCCTTCACTAGCCTGCCATGGCTTTCCCCACTCTGATACCTCATGCACTTAACTTGCTCATTCGATTAGCAAATGGCTAAAGCAGGGAGCAATCATGTTCAAGTTACGTGATTCACTCCTATGAATCCTCGAGTTACGAATGTAATTGGCAAGCCCCATTACATTCATAACTCGAGGATTACCTGTAATTCATACAAAATGCGGGATTTAATTGGCAAATAGAATTAATAAGTCCCAAATAAAACCAAGTTCATCAGGGGCTAAATCAAGTTTCCTCTGGGTTAGTCCAGCAGTTCATCTGAATGGTTTGGAGAGCTTCCAAAACATGTCCCCTTCCTTCTATTAAGCCCATATTGATATAGTCATGTATAATAGGCCTTAACATCCAGAAATGTTTAGGTCCACTTGGAATCGCAATGGGATGCTTCTTTGAAGAACCTCCTTAAATAGGAGACAAGAATCCCTTTGTATGTTAAGGAGCTCCAGCTAATTTTAGCATGTCAATCATTCATAATTGCTTGCGGCTTTAAGCATGCTCTTTAGTAACGGAACTCTAGCACTTCCTTTATAGTGATTGACATTTGGGAAGTTTTAAGAGGGTGCAAAATACAAGTATAATTGTAGGTTTAGTTTAAAAGAGGAAGCCATAATTGACAACAGTGATGTTGGTGATTTATTTGAATGAAAAAAAAAACTCTTTTAACAGCAATTATATAATGTAATTGTTCTTTGCACTGGCCAACTTTCCCCAACTTGGGACTGTTTAGATGTGCCGGTTCAATATTTCCACAATTCCCAATCAGTATTTTCTTTGTCCATACAGGCTGTGAGTTATGGGAATGATGATTTTAATATATTTTTGAAAGTTGACTAAAATATTCATCTTTGGCTTCATGAAGGAAAACAGTTTCATTGTTATAATAGGCTTTTTTAAATTTCCCACAGGTCTCTTGGGAGCATTACTTCCCCATAAATAGTACCTATGGTTCATTGCATGTCACTTGGCAACTCCTTTGGCTTTTGAGAGACAAGACCGCTATGCTTGATTGGTTGTCTTCTATTAAATCAATGCTTCCTATTGCAACACAAGTCTCTGTCCATGTTGTTCTCCTGGTAGCGTATCTCCTCATTCAAGAGAATGGGGATAATCTTCATAGTGTGCTGGATGCTACCATAGAAATTGCAAAGGTGGATTCATCTCAGGTAAGATTGATTTTTGATAAATGGCCTACACCTAATATTCAAAAGACCTCTCAAAATCAGTCTGAGCTTCTTACCTCTATAGCTTTTGGCTTTTTGCATATCACTTTTTTGTTATGTGTTCTTCCCAGCTCCTCTTTTAAATCTCTTTTTCCTTTCAACTGTTATTCTGTTAGTGACAGTTCTCATTGCTGTTGTTTACTGAATGCCATCTGGCATTAGGCAAGGGCCCATCCCTATCCAATCCTTGCCGGCTTGGTCCCTCCCAGCCCCAAACATTTTTAAGACGGCTTCCTCTTGAACTCCCCTCACCTACCTCTGCCCCCAAGTGCTTTTGCCTGCCCTGCCCAGCAGCAGTTGCCAGACCTTTATTTCAGCCTTGAGTTTTCCACTGTCACTACCACCAAGGAGTACTTCTTTAGGTCCCAAACCATGGCCCAAAGCCCCAGTGCAAAGCCCCAGCTGACTTGGCCACCCCAGGGCAGGTGCCGGCCTTTTTCCTAAGGTTGTATGTTCCAGGTTGTGTGTGGTCTTCTTGCAAGACTTTGGAAGTCTTCACATACAATCTTTTTGCAAGGCTTTGGAAGGCCTCAAATGGCAGGATTGGTATACCATAGGGTAGTAAGGCTGGCAGGGGAGAGATGGGTGGAGAAAGGCAAGTGGGGAGTTGAATGACCACTTCTGCAATTGTAAGTGCAGTGAGTTGCCAAGTGCCTAAATTTTCATCGCATGTTTGCAGGGGCTCTGCACTGGGTGTAACTTTGCATGCCAGGGTAAATACTGTATATTCACCACTTAACTTCAAATGGTTGCTGAACAAACACTAAATGAATATTGAGCTGAAAGTTAACAGAATTATCTGTATTCCTGTATTTTCTGGCAGAAAAGATACTTTGAACCATTATCCTTTTTTTGAGCTTTTAAAAATGTTTGTTTTTAAATACATTTGAATAACTAAAGCAGCAGATAATCGGATGTGAAGTTAGTGATTATTAATTTCATCTACAGAGGCTTTGTATGAAACCTTAACAGACTAATCTATACATATATGAAAATACTCATGGACTATTTTTTATTAACCTTGGGTATATTGGAAGCATTAAAATAGGGTGATATAATGTTAAAATACAAAAAGAGCTGAACCATTGAATTATGAGAAATAAGCTTTGCAAGAATAAAAAAATGCAATTCATTAATAACTATGAAGCATTCAGTAATTGTATTCTATTAACATTAAACACTTTGGGATACATTCAAATACTACATTTTTCTCACTGTAAAATTATTAAAACATGCAGAACAGAACCTATTAAATGGCTGTTTAAGTATCATAAAGTACATAGAATTGCAAAAGTTAACAATAAAATAGTGAGAGCAAATCTTATGTTGTGGATATACTACAGCTGATCCATTGTATTCAATTTCCTTGGGAAAAACATGCATTCAAAATGCAAAAAAAAAAGACTTAATGATAAGAGAGGAATTCTGCTTTACAGTTTGCAGCTCTCTGTGGGAACAGCTGTCTCTGGATGGTTTTTGTTCAGGATGCTTTTATCATATTAATTCAGAACAGATAAATGGGAACTACTTTACACGAAATGGGGAGCTTGGGAATTTCTTTTCAACCTCAAATGGCCTGAATTGTCTTTGTTCAATATTTTGTGCTGATTTTTTTCAATTATTTTTAGTATAGAATAGAGGAACGGAAGAAGGTTAGAACCACAGAGACTGTTGCCAATGGCAGTCTGCTGTAAATTATTTGCATAGTTATGGATGAGGATATGGGTTAACCCTAGATCAACCACATTGAGTGCTAAAAAAAGCAGTTTTAAACCTTTAGGTATTTGGCTTGTTGGGAGGTTTATGGTTAAGTTTATTATTCGCAGAAGATGCTTTTGTGTAGTTTTCTTTTACAAGTGGGTCACAATAGGTTTTAGAACATTGGAAAATAATTGATTATGATAAATTAAAATTCTAGCAGACTAATTTATTTAGAGTTCATGTGCTAAAATCGTGAAGAAAGCTTAAGACAGATACAACATTTGTTAGGTAAGCTCCCCATTGGGAGAGCGAGTACATTCAGAGAAGCGTTGTGAGGGTGGTATTGGAGAACACACAAACCAGCATACAGAGACACT